TTAATATGCATTCTAATTTTATAAAAATATTTCATGCTATTCTTATTTTCATAGGCTCTGAAGATGGATTTCCCGAAACAGCGCTGTTAGCCTTACCATGTCTATTGTTTTAAATAAATACGAGTTTAATAAATTCAGACTTGTTGAGTGTTCATTAAAGAAAGTCATTAATGCAAAATGGTCATATATCTTCAATGATGTTTGTATATATATATATATATATATATAATTAAAAAATAAAAGGCATTGCAGATTTATATATTTTTTCACAAAGATTTATATATTTTTTCACACATATATATATATATATATATATATTATTGAAACATTTATGAAGCGCTAATTAAACGAATCTCAAAAGCGCTAACAAAAACTGAACTTAACAACATAATTGAAATAACAAACGAGAAATCATAATACATCGCACAGAAATAAGATTAAAATTTGGTCATAAACAGAAAAGTAATCGATTCAATATAATAAAAATACGAAATAATATTTAGAACATGTCGACTAAACAGAAAAAAATTTATCAATAATGCATTACAATGAAAATAAATGAGTTTTCAGTTTCTTCTTGAAATCACGCAGGTTTAGGTCCGGATTTCTGAGAGCAGCAGGCAGGTTGTTCCAAACAGTTGGTCCAGAAACAGCAATGTTACGAGAGCCTATACGGAGACTCGTTGTTGGGATCAACAGCAGGTTTGAAACATCGGATCTCAAGTGTGTTCCAGATGCTTTTGAAGATCTCTTTTTGAACCTGTCAGACAAATAAGATGGAGCTAGACCGTTGATAGACTTGTAGACAAGTGTTGAAATTTTGAACAACACTCTTTTGTCGACGGTTAGCCAATAAAGTTTCTTCAATATTGGAGACACATGATCGTATTTTAGAGCTCCAACAACAGCTTTTGCGGCTCGATTCTGTATTGATTAAAGTACAGCCATGGATCGATCAGGTAAGTCATAAAACAAACTGTTGCAATAGTCGACGCGTGAGTGCACAAATGCATGGACCAACGTCTGCAACGTGGATGTATCTAGGGATCGTCGAATTTGATTGATTTTCCTGATTTGAAACATGCATTTGGCTGAGAGCTTTTTAATGTGTTGTTTCATTGACAAACCTGAATCAATCATGAAGTCCAGATTAGCTGCTGTCTGACAAAATGGGATGACCTCATCATTAACAGTTATTGAATTTATATCTATTCTTGAAAGTTGCTGCCATGTTCCAATTGGTAAAAAAACAGTCTTGTTTTGGTTTAGTTTTAAACCATTGTTTTGCATCCACTTATTGACCCCAGACAAACATTTAACCAGTTTGTCCAATTCTGATTTAAAAGAATCTGGCCTGCTCGTAACAATAATTTGCAAGTCGTCCGCAAAAGCATGACCTGAAAAACCAAATGATTCTATTATCTTTAGTACTTCAGATGTATAGATCAGGAATAGAATAGGACCTAGAACCGAACCTTGTGGCACACCAGACAGCATAACATTAACCTCAGACAATTTACCACCGAATGATACCTGTTGTGATCTACCTACCAGATACGACTCAAACCACCTCAGAACAGCACCAGAGATTCCAACCTGCAACGTAGTCTTGTTAAAAGTACTTTGTGATCTACGCAATCAAATGCGGATGACATATCAAAAAAGACTAGCATTGCCACATTTTGTTCATCAATTGCCCCGTACACTTCTGAGAAAACTTGCAAAAGAGCAGTTTCAGTCGAATGGTACTGACGGAATCCAGATTGATATTTCGGCATTAAATTGTTATTGTTCAAGTAACTGAGTGTTTGCCTGGCAACCACACGTTCGATAATTTTGGATAGGAAAGACAGATTAGAAATTGGTCTGTAGTTCCCAACATCATTTTCGTCTAGATTATGTTTCTTTAGCAGCGGAGTTATGATAGCATGCTTGCAGCCAGAAGGAAACTGTCCCACATTTAAACTGCTGTTTATCAGGTCTGCCAAAAATGGTGCGAATAGTTTTATAAACTTCTTTAATACGTGGGTAGGTATTACATCTTGTTGACACGACTTTGTAGGTGAATTTTGAACTAACTGTATTACCTCCTCTTCAGAAACCATAGAAAACGTTGAGAACAAACTATTATTGACATCTAATTGGAATTCTGCCAGGCTCGGTTGAGCATCGTTGTTGACACTATCTCTCAGCTTGCTTAACTTTTCATTGAAATAGCACATAAATCGATCAGGTGTTAGTTCATCCATATCCGAGCAGGATTTATCGTTACGACCCCTACAGAGAATGCTGTTCACAACCCGCTAAAGATTTTTTGGTTTCATCTTATTGTCATCAACAATTTTTGTCCAATACTGACGACGTTTTTTAGAGAAAAGTTCCGATTTATTCTTCAAAGCAGTCTTCCATTCATTTTGATGAATCAACTGTGAACTTTTTCTGTATCTTCTTTCAATTTTTCTGCACAAACGCTTGGCTAACCTGCAATCATTATCAAACCACGGAGCCATACAAACGTTATTGGTGGTCACTGCACGAATAGGGACAACTTTATCAGCAATAGATTTTAACTCGTTGTTAAATAAATGCAATTCCTTGTCTACCTCATTGCTTTGACATGATTTGGAGAGTGGAGATTCAAGCACGAGTTTGATGAAGTCATCAACATTCATCTGATTCCACATTTTAGAAACTTTTTTAATTCCAACCAAATATCCTCGAGTCATCGACAGTTCAGCCCAAATAAAACTATGATCAGAATAAATTCCACTTGAATGGACTAAACAATCATGAACTGGAAAATCCTCGGAGGTTACTATCAAGTCTAGTGTACCACCACGTAAATGTGTTGGTGCTTTTACACGATTGATGAGTTGAAAATTATCGAAGATATCATTTAAATTAGCAGCATAAGGATCATTCGTCTTTTCAACGTGCACATTGAAGTCCCCGGTTAAAATAATTCGAGAACTGAGTACTGTAATGTTTTCCAGAATAGAAATCAGTTCTTTAAAAAATAATCCAGACAGCTGTTCAGAACCCGGTCTGTAAATAGCGAGCAAAATAAACTCCTGACTGTGAACCTGACCGCCAAAACTTCAAATGTGGTAACTGTAGGTAAGGCTATTTTTTTACACTTTAAACATAGACGAAAAAATATTATCAATCCACCATGGAGAGGGTCGTGATCTCTTACACAATCTACAAAGCGGTAACCAGGAGGAATAGATAACGCAATGGAGGGATTTTCTGATGAACCATGCCATGATTCAGTAACAACAAAAATATCCAAACCATCACTGATCAAATCATAAATGATGTTGTACTTTGAGCCAATCGATCTTATATTTAGTAAACCCAATTTTATTTTAACCACACAAAAGTTATTATTAGTCCGATCATATTATTATTAGTCCGATCATATATATATATATATATATATATATATATATATATATATATATATATCAAAGTATTTATATATACCTTGAATGTTTATAAATTATAGTTTTATAGTTCAATGGTGGTTAATGCAGATTAGAGTTCGAGACAATGGCATGCCGTTGGCTCACATGGCCCTGGCTGTTGAAGGTGCTGGATGGACGGACCCTTCTAACATTGCTCTCATGGTGGCCAACACTCTCATTGGATCATACGACAGGTTGTTTATGTAGATATTTCTCATTTCCGTTTGTTGTTGTTAGTATCTTGTGTGCAGCAGCGATCCTGCTAGCATCGTAGACCAGATTTGTCGCTTGAATTCAATCTAATGTACTTCCTATGCCATCTTCAATTCGAACACCGGAGATGGTATAGGAATACCGAAAAAAGCTTTTTTGTTATATCATGCTTGAAATAAACAAAAATTTTGATTTTGAACTAAAGAAACTTGAAAATAATTTACGATCAACCGTTAGCAAAAGCCAAAAGTTATATATATATATATATAATAATATTAATATATATATGGCTGGAAGCAAACCATAATTGATGCAATTGCAATTATTTGATAAAATCTACTCAATTTTTAGCTTATAAAAATCTACGGTTGAGCTGTTCAATATTTCTAACTGTAGTTTTATAATTACAAATTAATTTATTAAAATTAATAAGAAAATCTTTTATGTTCATGAGAAGCGCATAGGTCAGATTTCAATTTTACTCATTATCAGCGCTTATATAGTAATGATATATGATGATGAGTAAAATCGTAAACTTTCAAAAGCTAAAAATTCGGTAAACTTTATCAAATATTGCATATAATATATATATATATATATATATATATATATATATATATATATATATATATATATAATTTCATTACAACTGGACGTGTAATTTTTCTAATGTGAAGGTCTGTTGGACCAAACATGGCTTCAATGCTCGGACAGGAGTGTGCCCAGTTCAATCTCTGCCATAGTTTTCAGTCGTTCAATACGTGCTACACAGACACTGGACTCTGGTTCGTTCAATTTCTCTTGTGAATTTAGTTATGGATTTTATTTGTCACAATGCTTTAATTCCTTTGTCGGTTTATTTCAATTCTATATTTAAAGTCAATAACTGTTGACAAAGTTTGCAATCTTTTATTAACTCGTTAAAATTTTTAATTATTTTAAATTTTCTGTAAATCTGATGTAATTTATTACTGTTGGTTTGTTTCATGTTAATACTTTCATATGTTAATAAACCGTCTGATGCCGATTTATTTTGTCATCCAACTGAACATGCAACGACAGGGGAATGTATTTTGTGGTTGAGGAGGATCAGGTGGAAGCCATGCTGAGGAGTGTACAAGCTGAATGGTCTGCTGAACTTTCTACTGAATTCTTATCATTTCTGCACATGTTCATTAACCTTTTGCACCTTAACAATTGGTCATATTTTAAATAAGGTTTTGTGGCGGTTAAATAATCTTTCAATGTTATAATATAAATGGCTACGTTGTACTGCTCTTTCATTGTTTTATTTCACTTGTATTGATTAAAGAATAATTATATCACGAAGGTTGAGGTTATGCACAAACATTACAGACGAAGAAGTTACGAGGTTAAAAAGTCACCTACCATGAATTAGTTGCTCATGAATTGCAACCCAGTCATATACAGCCGGGGTTGTTAATATCGTACTATCGGTATTGCCTCGATACTATCGCCGAGGCCTTTTGATATCGTTCTTGCCGATACTTTGTAATTTAAGTGACGTAAAGGTTATCGCCGATACATTTACGAGCTGTGATATTCGATACCTAAAATTGCCAATCAAGTTGAAAAAATTGCGTATTATTGTTTCTTACATTGATTTCTTTTCAATTATTATTAAAATTCTACGGTCGCTTATAAAAATTGAATAATGCGCGCACGTCTTAACGGCAAAATGGTAATGTATTTTTTCAGTTTTATAGCTATACATTTTCAGCTTTTTAACACAAAAGTGATTTATTAGTTACGTGTTCCTTTATTAAAATTGCATTCCAATTTTTGTTAAATGTTTTAAAATTTTGTTTAAGAAACTATCGCTGGTAGTATCTCTATTGGCGATACCGACACAAACCGATACTGCTATTTTTGAAAATTAATATCGGTATCGGCGATACTTTTTGGTTAGAGTGCCGCCATCGGCATCACCGATATTTTTCAAAATTATCGTTAACAACCCTGGATAAAATTTGGTAGAAATGTCAATATGACATTTTTCATGTAAATTTCAAAATGAAAATAAAGTTAACTTCAAAAGTTAGTATTAAAATTTTTGATGTCAATGCTAATTATTCCAATTTAATCAAGTTAATTATTTCAAGAAATATTTTGTAACTTTCTTTGCTCTGTCTTGTAGCACTTTTATCATAATTTTTTTATCTCAGTTTTAAAAAGTAGGCAACTATGCTTGTTAAGTGGTTTAAATGTCTATTTTTTCATTTGTTGCCGACAGTTTCGGTATGTTATTTCCACTGAATGTACGCTGAGACATGACAACGACATTACCCGCAGCTGATTTATAAATATTTGTAACTGGGCTGCAGTTGTTCTTCATATTAATTTATGAAGTTATAAAATACATTCAGGCATTATATAGCAGCAGCATAAATAATATATATTTGTACGAGCAGATCACGCAACCACCTGCTCGCCAACATGCTGCTCATGCTGGATGGTTCCACGCCGATATGTGAAGACATCGGCAGGTTCGTTCGTTTTTTTTAGAAAATATGTGAGCGCAGTGATGCACAAGCATTTTCATTTATAAAATGTAGTAGGCCTTATGGGATTCGCAGTGCAATGTTAATTATTTGTAACTTAGTGGAAGTGAAAAATTCAGTTATGCATGTAATTTTCATATTTTCATAGAAGTATTTAATGTTCCTTTATCTTATTCATCAATGATTACAATTATAATACTGCCTGGATTGAAATAAAAACGAAGATGTTATATATCATTCCATCACGTTTATCATTATGGAAGATGTAGAAATGCTTTTCTTTTTAGTCCTGTCATAAATTTTTTCAACTGTGATATTTGCATACATACAAAGCAGCAAAAAACAATAAATAGTGCTCAATAATGTAAAAAATGATTATTATTTTTTACTATTTTGAAACAAAAATGCAGAATAATTTATTAAAGAAAACAATTATATCGATTGATTTCAACCATGCATTTTATAGTATTTTTTAGTTAGCACTGCTGTATAGTTAAAATTGTAAAGCAAAGGTTGAACAATTTTTTCTTAAGTTGGGTATCGGAAAATTTTCAATTAAGGAATCGGATTGGGACCAATTTTTATTTGACACCCTGATTGATTTTCCAATGTTCATATTCGTTCAGGCAAATGTTGTGTTATCGTCGTCGCATCCCTCCACCAGAGTTGCAAGCTCGCATTGAAGCTGTTGACGCGAAGGTTTTGAAGGAGACCTGCATGAAGTTCATTTTTGACAAGAAACCTGCTCTTGCTGCCGTTGGTTAGATTGATAAGCCAAATATTTCTACTTTTCACAATGTAAATTTCCAAAAGTTGATTGTTAAATATTTTAAATTAATGCTTATTTTTCAATTTTTTAGCTACTTATTTGTAACAGGTTCAAGTTGAATATTAACAAAACATAATATTAATGGATTTGAACATCTCATTGACCTAAACAAATTTTGCCTTTTCTTGACGATCCTACTCTTCTCCTTCTTGTTACTTCTTTAGTTTTATTTAGGATTGATCATTGTAACTCGCTCTACTATGGTCTTCATGAGTTTACACTCTAATCTTTAAGTAAAGCTTTTAACAAGGCTGCTCATCTAGTTGCTCGTGCCACTTTCTTTTCTCATATATCTTCATATCTTGTTCTCTTGCGCTGGCTACCTATAAAATACAGATTAATTTTTTAAATTTGCACATTAATGTTCAAGTCTCAATCTAAATTATTTGCTAAGTACTTATCAAATGTATTAATTGAATCTAAACACTCTGGTTGTCTTCTTGTTCTCTTCTTTTTAGCTCGTGTTAAACACTCTTTTGCTAAATCAGCATTTGCTTTTTCAGGCCCTTTTCTTTGGAACTCTCTACTTCTTTCTCTGACTACTTCTCCATCACTTACAAAGTTCAGAGCGGATCTCAAGACCCATTTGTTGCAAAATTCACTGAGAAGCGCTCTTGAACATCGCGGAAATAGCGCTTTACAAGCTAATTGATTGATTGAACAAATGAATAATTTCAAAAACTAATCAAAGTTGGCTCATCTAGATTGTATTAAATCAATTTTAAACTGTCGCAAAATATATCGGTCACCAAATTAGCTCAGTCATTTTCACCATGACTCGCGCTGCTATTATTCGATGGCATGGTTTGAATACTGTTTGTTCGAAACTCAAAGGCCATCACACGCCAATTATGCCGTGCTTGCGCGTGCATGCGTAATGTGTATGGGCGTCGTTTGGTGTGGATAGCGTACAGCTTTTGTGGCGCGAAAGTCTGACTACAAGTATATAATAACATGTAAGGAGCTCCGCGTTTGACGGAGCTGAATTATAAAGAATACAGAAAAAATATAGATGGAATTTGAAGATTTGAAACGATGACGAGCTACATGCGAAAAAATTACACTGGCTTCGAATCCGAAAATAATTAAACTCGAAATAACTCTGATCGTGGTCGATCGTCTTTTGTTTGAGTGCTGCACAGGCTTATTTGAGGAAGAAGTTGAAGCCCGTTTCTTAAGTGACTTGAATCTTAAGCGATCTTGACTATTCTCTTCTAATACCGGCATTTCTGTTTCTTTGGCTTGGGTGTGGAACTACTGTTGAGTATTTGTGATGAATTTAAGAAACAACATAAACATAAATTCTTCAGCAATTCTAGCCAAGATCACTGTCAAATTTAGAATACAATATAATATATTATACAAAACATCGATGTTTTAAACCATTTTGTATCCACCTTTATTACAAACTATCTAACTATTTTTCAAATAAGGTCGTTGAAAAAAAATCGTTGTATAGAAATTTCGTCATATAGAATTTGTTCAAGGAAAAAATGCTATATTGTCTAAAAGTGTTTTTATGCTATATATTTATGAAAAACAACCTCTTAGCTATTTATTTTAATAACAGAAAGTAACAATATATTGTATGATTGTAAAAAATGAAATTTTAAAAGTGAAATTTATTCTTTGTTCCATGCAACGATGATTTCGATTTCACTAAAATTAATCGGGGTAGAATTCGCAAAAATTATTTGAATACTAGAACAAGGAACAATAAATACGTTTCTAAGATGTTAAAGGAGTACAAAAACACCGTTCATATCAATTCTTGGAATTTTTGCTGCTCGGATATTTTTTTTAACATTTATAAATTTTGTTCGTTATGGAAAAATTATTTTAGTTCTATAAAAACAGTTTCATATGTAAAATTCCAAATTTTCGTTGTATAGAAGTTCGCTCTGAGGAGGTCTGGCTGTGTTTTTAGAAATTCAGTTTTTTCATCGTTAACTTCTCGCTGTTTTTTTTTTGTTTTTTTTAAATTTAAATACAAAATTCAGTTTTTTCATCGTTAACTTCTCGCTGTTTCTTTTGTTTTTTTTAAATTTAAATACAATTCTGACTTTTTATTTAATTAATTTGTTTAGGAATACCTTCAAATCTTGCCGATTTTATTTATGTCGCATCTGCCTACTTCTGGTTTGTGTGCTACTCCACATTCACACTTTACTCTATTTCTTTTTCGGAAATCTAATTTGATTTGAGTAAAATTGATAGGAAACTTTTTCATAGATGGTGTTGAGTTAGAAAACGTGGAGAAGTTCATTTATCTTGGACGCAAAATTACGTTAGATTTGAATTGCATTTGGATTGTTGTGAGAATTGCCAAAGCCACAACAACATTGAAAGCCGTGAAAGCAAAGAGATAAACATAAAAATATTATTTAACCAAATATTATTGTGCCATACTACATATTTAGTCCAGCTTCATAAATCAAATAGCACAGACTTCTTATTCATCAACGTAAATCTTAAATACGCCGTAATTATCTACCAATCATTAAATAAACGTCAACAACCTTATGTTCATAATCTTCTTCATCATAGACACCACACTGGTCACCATCTTCTATCGGATGCAACAAATAGTTTATATCAACCTGCCAACAAATCCGTTCGAAAATTTTTAATTATTTATCAGAGTGTAAATAAATAAGATGTAAAATATAATGTATGATCCTCTCGTGCTCTCTGATCAACAAGTGCTTGAGAGTAAACAAATATATTTAAAATCGGTTAATTACAGTAACAGTTTTTATCTATTTTATTCAAATCAGTGTACTTATATTTGTATCTATATTGCACGTTTGTGTGCGCATTTTTTACATTTGTGGTGTACTTATATATTATATTTGTAGATTTGCAGTTGAGTTAACATGCGATGATAACTGTCAGTCAAGTTCCCATTCACACAATTTACTTTTCGTTTAGTTTTACAAATATGAATATTGTTGCTAATTGACAATTACTGTTTAATTAAAATCTCAATTAAAATATCAGGTCCAATTGATCAGTTGCCAGATTATGCCACAATATGCAGTCAGATGTACCAATTCCCACCTAAAAAATGATTTTTTCTTATTGTATATTAATGTTCTGTTAACTATTGTTTTTTTTAATAATTTTAATATTTTCATTATTAAATAGTGTCTTTTTACAAATTTTAAGATATGATGAGTGTCTTCGTCTCATTTGCGTTTTGACCGTTCTAAAATATTTAAAAATAAAACTAAAAACGTTTTTTGTAAAAATTATGATGTACCTACTCTGCCCATCCGAAGCAAATGAAAAGAAAGCGTAACCTACCTAGTGTTATTGTACTTTAAATTTAACAAAAAACGCCGTCACACTTCTCCTAAAAAATTAAATAAGCTTATGTCCGAATATAAAACTAAGTTAAATAGGAGTTAGGAAAGCCTCGCACATCTTTCGGTCATCCACCAACAACCATCTATCGGCAACGTATCAAATACAATACCGACACCAGCGCAAGCACAAACAAGTACCAGAAAAAAAGGTATGTAGAACTCTCTGTGTCCCATGTAAATCTAAATTAGCTACAATCAGACAATTAAGACGAGATGTTAGGTTGTTAATATTAACAATTAAGGAAAATAGTTGAAAATGAAAATTTACACAAACCATTTGTATCATAAAAAGATAGCGAAACAATGGAGGAGCAAATCATGGACATATATATCCATAGAGCAAATACCTACTTAGAATTAAAAAATGTTAAAATAATCATAAGCAAAGCGTCGAGCGCTACCATGGATAAAATATATATCCATGAGCGTTAATAATAAAAAATAAAGAAGCAACTGTAAATAGTTTAAATAAAGATACTAATAATTTAAAATTTATAGTAGCAATTAACAGTTCGACTTGGCTGTAGGCCTTCAGAATAAGTCTGAGGAAAAAGGCACGGTTTTTTCGCTTCTATACAATTTGTCCAAATTGAGATTAGCTCTTGTAGTGGTTGGTGTACGATTACTGAGTGATTAAAATTAATAAAAAAGATATTATCAAATAAATTCATGATATTTAGTTATGATTTAAAGTTTTAAACTAGATATAGCTTCAAACGAGAACTAACGGCTTTCAAAGCGTTCCTATTATTAAAGGACAAAGTGAAACTAAGGACATTTTCACGAATTGTGGCAATTGGTTCTGTTTGATTTCCACGTGGATGGTGTTCCTCTACAGCATCAGCAATTACTTAGTAAATCGTATTTGTCATGATAAAATAATTATTTGCAAGAAAAATCCTTATTTCATTATCAATAACAATAATCTTCACACTTCTTTTCCATTTACCAGCAACAACAAGAATGTTTATTAAAACTAATGGATGAAAGTAAAATATGTATATTCTGGGATCCATGCAACGAGGATTCTGATTCCATTAAAATTAATCAAGATAGAATATGCAAAATTTACTTAAATATTAGAACAAGAAACAATAAATAAATTTCTAGGAAATTAAAGGAGAACAAAACACTGATCATATCAGTTCATAGAATGTTTGCTGGTCTGATATTTTTTTAACTTTTATAAATTTTTGTTCGTTATAAGCAAAATTTCAAAAGACATAAAAAAAATTTGTTATGTATAGATTTTCGTTATATAGAAGTGCGCTATATAAGGATATGTATTAAACTTCGAAATTTTTATCGTATGGTATAAATGTATTTTCTTTCTTTTATACATTGTTTGTCATGGCTTTCAATCAATCAATCAATCAATTAGCTTGTAAAGCACTATTTCCGCAGTGTTCAACAGCGCTCCTCAATGAATTTTGAAAACAGATGGGTTTTGAGATCCGCTCTGAACTTCGTAAGTGATGGAGAAGTAGTCTGAGAAGTAGGTAGAGAGTTCCAGAGAAAAAGGCCAGATAAAGCAAATGCAGATTTAGCAAAAGAGTGTTTAACACGAGTTAAGAAGAAGCGAGAACAAAAAGACGATCGTAAACCGGGGCGTTTAGATTCATTAATATATCTGATAAATACTTAGGAAATAATTTAGATTGAGACATACATAAACGTGCAAATTTTAAAAATTATTCTATATTTTATAGATAGCCAGTGCAAGAGAACAAGATATGGAGATATATGAGAAAAGAAAGGGCACGAGCAACTAGACGAGCAGCCTTGTTAAAAGCTTTACTTAAAGGATAGAGTATAAAATCAGGAAAACCATAGTAGAGCGAGTTACAATAACCAATCCTAGATAAGACTAACGAAGTAACAAGAATGAGAAGAGTAGGATCATCAAGAAAAGGCAACAGTTTTTTTATTCTACGTAGATGAAAGTAAGAGCTTTTAGCGACACTATTAATTTGAGAAGAAAAGAGACATAGAAGAGTCAAATATAAAACCTAGACTACGAAACTTGTGAGAGATATCAAGAGTTTTAGAATCAGGTAAGATAATAGGAGAAATAGTAATAGAGTGTTTAGATTTATTAAAACAAATTAATTCAAACTTAGAAGGATTAAGTTTAAGACAAATAGAGTCAGACCAAGCGATAAATGAAGAAAGACATAGAGATAGATTACAAAGAACACTATTAAGTTAGATGGTGGAAAAGAAGTATAAATGTAAGAATCATCAGCATATAGTTGACTAGAGAAAGAAAAATTATTAATATTACGAGGTAGTTCAGAGGTATAGAGTATAAATAGAAGAGGGCCAAGGATAGAACCCTGAGGTATCCCGAAAGTAAGAGTAGAGGAGTTAGAAGTAGAATTATTGAGAACAAAAGAAAAAAAAACGATTACAGATATAAGAAGAAAACCAAGATAGACCAGAATCAGTAATATTAAAAGAAAGAAATTTCTTCTAAATGTAATATACATAGAGTTTTTTATATCTATATACGATAATATGAATTTTATTATTCTATGAAGTTTTTAATAATTTATTTTAATTTACATCTTTTACTTTCCATACCAAATATCGTAAACTTTATTTTTATAAGAGTTAACTGACGTATAGTACAAATCTAAAAGTTGATTCGATCACGTTCGTCACATGGAGAAAGCTTGGCAAAAGGTGGTTTTGTTTAATTTTTGGTTAGATCGATAACTCGGGCACGCTGCACGCTCGGTTAATTTAAAAATAGACCACGTGTCAGAAACATTACGTATTATATGCGGTTTAATTAACCTTTACAAGCCCGCTATCTTCCCGACTAGGTAACTTAATGAAATTTGGAACACTTATTCAGAATGTTATTGTGAATGAGTTTAAAAAATTTCGTGAAATTATCTTTTAAAGGTGATGAGATATATATGTGTTCTAAAAATGGACCGTTAGGCTATTCTGGTTATAAAATGCCATATACATTTGTATTATTAATTATATGGTTTTAAATTATTTGAAAATACCTTATGAGTTTTTGATTGTTTGAGATAAAACTAATAAATAATCAGCTGAAAAATAGTTATATTTTATTATTTATTTAATGTACACAACACCAATGACTAAAGTACATAAGTAAAATCACAAAGTTCATGTATTCACCATGCATTTAGTTCGCATCACTTCTGATGGTAGGCAACAAAACAGCGTTCACGTGACGTAAAGTAAACATTTGTTGCACTTACCACACTGCTTTGTTGTGTTGCTTTTGCAGTAGGTGCAACGATCTTGTTTTACAGTCTCCAAATAATGACTTGACCGTCAAAATGCACAGTCTGGAATTGGAGCTGTGTGACCTCCGAGGCGTTGTCTCTGAACACCACGTAACAGATTGTGAACTACTTCTCGCAGAAATTGTGACAAACTATCTCCAGCAGTACCCAGCTTACAATGCATATGCCGTGAAGCAACAACCGCAATAATGACTGCATTTAGAAATAGGTTCCACCACCACTTTTTCCCTTTTATTCATGGTTGATAGGCAGACAAGAGCCGATCAAGCATATCTATACCTCCCATACCAGCTGTGTATTTGGCAATCATAAGTGGTCGAGAAACAGTGGCTTTTTCACAGGAACCTTTCACATGTCACTGCACTTTCTTGACTGGCTCAACACTGTCATAATTGCTTGCACAAGTGACAACACTGTTATCACTCCAGTGTACCACTACGACACTGCCATCACCAGTAAATTCAAACGTTTTTCGAAAAGTGATTTTTGGCAGATAGCGGTGCATCGCCATATCGTCCTTCACGCATGGTTTTTTTTGTTGCTTTGACTCCCAATTCTCGCAATTTTAGTAGAAGGTGATGCGATGTAAAAAAGTTGTCAAAAAAACATAATGTGAATCTTTGTTCTTCAGATGAGACATGAAACTTAAAACAACATGTTCCCCAAGATCTGACCGACCGCAATAAATGGATTCTTGGTATGGTTGACCATCGGAAGAACACAGCATCCAACCAATTTTATAACCGAATCTTATTGGTTTGCCTCGAATGAACATTTTAGCACTATGGTGTCCATAGTATGGCACCATTGATTCATCAATGCTTAGTTTTGAATCGCAAATGCCAAACTGTACTAGATTTCTATTCAGCATTTTATACAATGGCTCCACCTTGGCAACTTTTGATAAACTTAAGTTTTGCTTGTCTGCTAAGTGCAGAAATCACTTCAACTCTAGAAAACGACCTCTGGACGTTGTCTGAACAACCAACTTACAACCCAAATCTTCACTTGTGCTTCAATAGTGGCGTTCACCTGGAAAGCTGTTGTAACCGGAAAGCAACAAAATACCTAAGAATTTCCATATTTCTTCCACAGAAGTATCAAAAATTGGACAGTTAAAGTATCTTGCTGCATAGAGAGTTGATTGTTCCACTATATGATGTAAAATATCACTTGAAAATATTGTTTCAAAAAGTTAATTGGAGGTAAATTGCAAAGTTCAGAATGTACAGTAAATCTTTTAACTTCTACATAAACTAGACTCTATACTGATAATATACTATATCACTTACTTGAATATTGATTTTTTTATGTGGTGAAAATTATCACAAAATCACACTACTCAATTTCACTGAAATCACTAAATTTTGAAACAGATAAGTGAGCGATAAAATGTTTGCAAACGCCAAAGGTTAGTTGAATATGAAAATTTATTCATTGATCTTAAAAACAGTCCATAAATTACTGTATATTTCATAAGAACGAAAATTATATTTAGATATAAAAACATGTTTCAGAAATGGAACGTTATGCTGTTAAAGGTTAAATTAAGAGCTCTATCGGCCTTGGTCCATCTTATTATGATATGTAAATGTAAGTAAATTAGTAAAGTAATGAATGTAGATATAAGGTATGATATGTTAAGGATGGGTGAGCGAAAATATTAAGGGACATGTTTAACCCTGCGTTTACCAACATTTTTTTATAGCGCTGATTACCAATGTGGGTCCGTTGGACCCACATATCGACATGTCATTAATTTAAACTAAAATTTAATTTTGACTCATTTTTATGTTGTGTTTCTAAATATAGCAATCTCCAAATAAGCAAAATATACAAAAACAAGAAATTTTTCTGAACAGTTAAAAAATAAATGTTTGATAAACAATGTAGTCACTTAAAAATCATAGATTAAATGTTGCAGTTGTTACAAATTACAACGGAATGCTCACAACAAATGTTTTTTTTGCATCTTGCACATAATGATTTAGTTTTTCTTTCTTTTTTATAACTACACAACACACATCGTTTTTTTCTCGCTGGTTCATCTATATTCAAAATTGCTGTAGGTTGCAGTGGCGCCTCTGAAAGCGTTAGTTCTTTGCCCAAATCAATCAAAAACTGCCTTCTTTTGATACTTTTTTCAGATTGCATTGATTTCCATATGATATAAGCGTTTAATCCACTTATATCTATCATGTTATAAAACACAACAAGTGGCCATCGTCTTGTCATCCGTTTAGTGCTATACCCTCTTGTCATCTGATCCATTGTATCAACTCCAGCTTTGGTTTTGTTATAATAAAGAACTATTTCTGGTTTCTTTTTTTTCATTATTTTTATCATATTCTGGTTGGTGATGCATTGTACTCAACAATGTGACAGTTTTATTTTTCTTTGCTATATAAGAAACAATAGTGAAATTGTCCTTGAATCCAAACAATGATGAATATAAATCTCTACCTTTTGGAGAAATAAATTTATCTGGCAATTCCGGACGATTTTTTCTAATTGTTCCTACGATTGTCAGATTTTTCTTGAATAACTTTTCTGCCAAACCAATGCTCGTAAAAAAAATTGTCACACGTAATGTTTCTGCCAGAATTTTCCAATCCCCTTATCAGAGTTAGGACCACTCTTTCAGCTTGATTTTTTTCCCTTGGGTTATCTTTTTCTTTCCCCTTATAAATTTCCAAATTCCAAACATAATTTGAGCTACTATCGCACAATGCCCAAAATTTAATGCCATATTTACCTGGCTTGGAAGGAATATATTGACGAAAGGGACATCTCCCTCTAAAGGTGACCAACTGTTCATCAATAGTTACTGTATGACTCAACTTGTAAGGATCTTTTAAAGTAGAATTCCATGATTCAAATAAATCTCTTATTGGCTCTAATTTGTCTGGTGATCTATGTTTTCTGCGTGATGCAGCATCATCAAATCTCAGAACTCTTAAAATTTCATGAAATCTGGTTCTTGATATTATTTTATTGAATAAAGGTCTGCCATCACTTCCGCTCCATAACTGACTAAATGGTTCATTCTTAGATTTATATACACCAACTAATATGAGAACTCCAATAAACTTTTTTAGTTCATTGACACATAACTTCTTATAACCATCTTTCAACACCAGTTGTCCTTCTTGATTTGTGAAATGACATATTTGTTCCAACAAACTAGATCTGAAATAAATCAAAAAAGAAGAAGATATTGAATCAACGTTATTTTTTGCATAATTGTTGAATCCTGGACTTTCTTTTACAATATTGAAACTTTTGGCACGACCTTGTGTATTTGTTTCTGGTGTACTATGCCACACAATTTCTTTATTTTTTGATAAATACGTTTCCTCATGCGTAATAGTATTAGCCATCAAATCAGATTTCATGTCATTTTCGCTTTCACTATTACTAACTTCGTTTTCTTCAACACAATCGATTTCATTATCATCATCTGATGCAACATAATCTTCGCAATCATCTTCCTCACTTTCTTCTAAAATCATTTGGCAAGCTTTACTTAGAGAAATCTTTGATTTTGACATTATAAGGAACAAAAACACAATTCAAATAAAAGTATATTTATTAAATGGCTACTACCATGGAAACAACAATAAAAGTGAATCTAAATAATAAATACTTTTTAAAAATGAATGTGGGTCCAACAGACCCTGTCGGTAAGTGGTGCTTGAATTTTTATAGCGTAATTACTAATGCCAAAAAATTTATAAATTTGCATTTTTTTTTTGACAATAAGTATTTAGAAAAAGTCAGAATTTTTGGAAATTTTTACAAATTTTTTTGTCTATCTACATCGCATCAAACATCGAGGATGGGTCCAATGGACCCAGCTGGTAGTTCTAGGGTTAAAAGTTTTTGTTTAATTAAGAACTAATTTAGTTTATGTTCATGCTGTGTAGCAGGCACAAAACAAAAGTTTGAACAATAGAAAATTATGATTGTTCATATGCGTGTATAATATATAAAATAAATAAATATATTATATATTCTGTTGTATTTTAAAAATACAGATACAATACAAATAAAAATATATAAATATAATATTGTCTAAATGCTTCAGTCTGAGAGATGATGAAACAACATTATAAATTATATAGTACTAAATATTATATGTAGTATATTGTATAAATATTTCATTTGCGGACCCAAAATACTTTGTAACACCTTAGAAATGTTGTTATAATAACATTTTATTTTTTTGTATTATCGGTCAATTTTCATAATATTTTTTTATTTTATTTTTTTAAAACAAGTTTATTTCATGTAACGCATAAAAAAACGAAACATGAAAAAGGACTCTAAAAAAGATAAAATCTCAAATAAATAAGAACCCTACAATTTTTTATGAAAATGTCTAAATCGATACAAAAAATCAAATTAATGTACTTTGTAAAAACAATATACATATATGCACAAATACATATACACATATGTTCTCTGGCTAAAATCATTATGCGATACATTGTTCGAATAGAATTAAAATCAATTTAATTAAAATTAATATTAAATTAAAATTATGGAAAATAATAATAAAATAACAAAACACAACTAAGATCATGATTGTTGAAATAAAAGAAAAATGTACATACACATAAATACACACATGCATACGTACATACAAAAATTCATATGTAAATACACACATGTGAATTAAAAATCAATTTTTAAGAAAAAATTGAAATAATCAATAGTGTAAATAGAACAATAGTCTATACTATATAATCTAAAAATAATGACAATAGAAATAAATTATATAAAAAAAAATCAATTATACATTATGAGAGGCATTGAAGATAGTTTTTTAACTTATATTTAAATGAGCGATAGATCATGCACGACCTAACAACGGACGGCAGTCTATTCCACTTATAAATTCCATAAAAACATACATTGCTGTCGAGCAACTTACTTTTTGTAACAGAAACTTTTAATTTATTTTTGCAGTTCACACGTTTATTTCTTATTTTTGTGTCATATTTAAAAGAGTCTTTTAGATGCGCGTCTGATGTTCTCAACAAATTATTGTTAATTTGAAATATAAAACAGCATGTCTTAAAATCATTAATTGATAAAATTTGGAGCTGATTAAACAATCAAGAATATAATAGTTTATTTTGGTGACACCCTTGACAAGATTTTTAAGGCACCTTTGATACTAGGAGGCAACACTGTCAGGAATTTTGTTACAATTTTTCAAACTGAATTTTTGTCTCCAATCAAATGACATTGAATGTCTAAAGCACTTCCAACCTCCAAAAATGTTCTATTGCGGTATATTTTGTAATATTGTTGATGAAAGTGAATGTGTCTCTCTAATGTATGGTAGATCAAAGATGCTCTTGGATGAGTTTAAGTTGTGATCAGATAAATATTGACGCGTTGTTTGATGAAGTTGGTCTCTGACATTATTGGTCTGCACTGCCAGGTGGTCTCTGAATTTATTCATCCATTTTTTCTTATCTTTATGTACTTTGGAAAAAGTATCTGTTGTTTCAGGCAACTGTGACCATTTGTGTAGCTTTTTTATTGATTGTTTTGTCTTTATATTTTAACTTGTGCATTCAAGAGTTTCATACTGTTAATGGCGTCAGCATGAATTTCTAAACAATTAACCATGCAGTGGTTACTTCTTTATGTTTATTTATTAAGTAGTTTTATAACAGTCTTGGTTAAAAATTGTAATTTTGGCTTTCAGTTTTATGCATGCGTTCATCAATTTTTATTTAGAAGGTGATGGTTTTATGTATTTGATGTGTTAAATGTAGATAAATAATTTAATCATGAACATATATAAACAAATGAAGGTTTTGTTTTGTACATTTCAAAATGGCGATCCGAATGTGGTGGCATGTGCAAGAGACATGGAAAGTGGGACAATTCTGATGACGTACAAAGGAGGTTCATGTTCACAAAAAACTCTTACCCTTGTTAACAATGAATACATAATTGGGGCAGATGAATACAAACCTCTTATTTATGTCTGGGCTTTGAACAAAAAGGTCTTATTGCTGACTCAAATTGCGTTTAAGTTTCTATTATAATGATACATTCAGAATTTTCTACGTTGACATTGAATTTTTATTTTATGTAACAAGTAAACAGTTCGTGTTCTTACATTTAGTTATTGATTGTATCAAACAATTAGTGACTGAATCTTCTGTCTACATGTTTCTAGTGCAGTAGTATTAATTTTTTAATGTTATGTAATTAATTTGTTAATAATATAATTAATCAATAAATAATTAATTAATCAATTGAACGGATTGATTGATTAACTAATTAGTGATCCTTCCTACTAACAAACAAATAAACAGGATCCCGTGCAGAGGATTCGAACGACGGGTATCGTGCGGGCGATGTGCATTTCTCCAACACAACTTTACTTAGTTGGAGCTGTCGAGGAAAAACTTTATGTCTGGATGGTTGGTTCATTGTGCCTCGGTGTTATATTAAGTGATGATTTATCTGCATGTGAGTGTGTGTACGTGTGAGTGTGTGTACGTGTTTTCTTCTGTGCTTTTGCGTTAGTTTGTACGTATACGTGGCTTTTAGTTGCTGTGTGCTGTACGTGTGTGGGTGGTCTCAAGAATATTGCATGTCAGGATGTATCTGACTTTGTTTCGCTTGAAGTATATGATGAATATTTTTTTTAGAATGAATGAAGAAAGCTTACTTTATTTTTATTTATTTTTTCATATTCTCATAAAATGTAAACAAAGATTATTGTGTTGTATGGCAAACTATATGGAGAAATTTTCTGAGTAAGCTTGAGTAGGTTGCTTTGCTCTGGGTTGCTGATGAGGAGATGTTGTTTTAGTTCTTTGAAACTTTTCAGCTTCACCAGAAGATCATTCCAAGCCAAATAGATCAGCGCTTCTCCATCTTTTGAGATTCAAGGACCACTTAAAAAATGTGTCTCAGCCACAGACCACTACTGAAAATTTTGCTACTAGCACACTTGAAATTTATATATACATAAATATAATTATTATTTCATACATTGACGTAACAGCTACACTTAGTTATTATAACATAGTTATTAGTATAACTATTAGACTTAGAGAACTACAGTTAGGCCTACCAGACTTGACTATAGATAAGTGTATTAAAATTGTTATTTAAAATTATTTATTATATATTTTAATGAAGGTTTTAACATCAAATTAAAAAGTATAATGTTCGTTTTACATTGATGTTTGCCTGTACCGTAACTGGCGTATCATCAATTTTTATGTCAAATATGAAACAAATTGTAATTGCATCTTTTACAATGAACAAATGTCACTCGCTAACAATAATGAGTAATAATGAGCAGGTGGTTTTTTAACGTGCCAGGTACATTAGAAATAATGCTACATTTAATTCTAGTGTGAGCCTTGAGCTTGCGCAGTTATCCAAACGAGGCGTAATGCTCGAAAGACTCAATCGGAGTTCATCTTTCATTTTTTTTTTAAAACTTGCACTTCACATTTTACTCGCGGACCACCAAGCAAATGTCCGCGAAGTGGTCTATGGACCACAGGTTGAGAACCACTGAAATAGATCATTGCCTGATTATGTAACAATGCAATGTTGAATCAAATCTTTCAACTTTTCATGACAAATAATTGCAGACGTTGTTTAAGTTGAAGGTTGAGATGCGGCAATTTTGAATTTAGTTTTTGCTTAGAAAGCACTTTGCGTGTCTCCACTCTTGTTTCGATGATGATGTTCATCATTTTCTTCATGTTCTCTTACTTGCATGCTACTGGTAATTTCATCACTGACTTCACTCTGGGCGAACTCGTCATAATTTGATTTGCAGTTTATATCCATGATCATATCACGTTACGTATTTATTTTCAGAGATCACATTTTTCAAAGATTAAGAGTCTTTAAATTGAAAAATTTAATGAGCAGTTGTTATAGTGACTTTGAACAATCTTTGAAGCAAGCCGAGAGAGAAGGAAAGCCACTTGTCATTGTAAGATTGGGAAGCAGTGGAGGTGTTGGAAAGCAGCTTATAAATTGCATTGCAGATGCCAACTGTCATTATTATTATTTTGACCATTATTACCAAATCACCATAGTTGATAATTTTTCACTTCAACTTCATGAGGATTGGATACAAAACCACCTTCATTGATGTTGTATGTGGGTAGCCGTTGCTTGTTTAGTTGTATATTGTGATATATTGTAGGTGTCAACAGGCCAGTTGTTGCTCGTGGTCGACCACCATATGAGTCGAGTCACGTGTCTCCACTGCTCCACCGATCGACACGTTTTCATGAGTGGAGATGAGCAAGGAGTTGTTGCCGTCTGGTCTCTTCAGAGGTGCAGACGATTCTTTTACCATTCCATCTACTCATTCACTCACTCACTTATTTGTTGATTCATTTTTTGATTGGTATAAATTTAAATTATTGTACTGAAACACATTACAACTACTACAACACACCACACCACAACTACTACAACACCAGTCTCCTTACGTCATCTGCTCATGCTCTCCATCCTCTATCAGTCCTGAACATTCATTCCTCCTCCATAACTGCTGGTTTAATAATCAATGACGTCATCATCACCTCATCACGGGACAACACTGTTAAGGTCTGTTGGGTTAATTTATTTTCTTCGTTTTAAGTCTTCATGCCTATGGCGTATTTTGTGACGGGCGAAAAGTTCAGCCGTTCAATTTATATTTCAGGTCAGTCAACTTGATACAAGAAAGCTGATACATGATTGGCTGTTTGAGTGTCAGGTCACGTGTTTGGCTGGTGACGTCATGGGCAGGTTTCTTGCTGTTGGACTGCAGGACGGCTCCATTAGGCTCAAGGATACCTGGGTACCGTTTGTTTATGTCTAGTTCATGTTTGTTTATGTCTGGTTCATATTTGTTTATGTCTGCTTTATGTTTGTTTATGTCTGGTTTATATTTCCTTATGTCTGGTTGATGTTTGTTTATGTCTATCTAGTCCATGTTCGTTTACGTCTGGTTGATGTTCATTTATTATGTTTGGCTCATGTTCGTTCATTTCGGGTTCATATTTGTTCATTTCTAGTTCATGTCTGGTTCATCTTCATGCCTGGCTATTGCTTGTTTGTTTAATTTACGTTTGGCTTTTGTTTGTCTGTTCAGTTTTGGTTCTTATTCATTCGTAGTTCATGACAAGTTCATCCCTGGTTAATGTTTGCTTGTGTATGTTAGTGTTGGTTTGTGTTTAGTTCACGTTTGTTTATATATTATATAGTTCATGTGAGTGAAACGTATGATCTATGTTGTTCATGTTTGTTCGTGTATGTTCATTGTTTGTTTATTTGTTTGCAATTAATTTATTGATGTACTCCACAATTTTTAACAGGAAAAAAGTATTAACTTTACGAAACTGTGGACCAAGTTGGTTGTTTGATGTTAATATTGATGTGGTTCAAATGCTCTTGTTGCTGCTCACTGCTATTTAATTCTTAATTAAAATCTTGTTGGCTGTCCTGTAACACAAGCACACACTCGCAGCAAACACAACCACCCCTAACACACCACACCACCCCTGCCACATGGATCAAATCGCCGAAACTGCGCCACACCAGGTCCCCCATCAGTTGCCTGGCAGTGGCAGCAGATGCAGACAGGTTGCTGAGTGGCAGTCATGAAGGAGAGGTTAAAATGTGGGACATGATGACAGGCTCGTGCGTCGCTTCCATCACTCATAAAGGTTGATAACATCTCTTCATCGTTGCCATCCATATTCGTCGTTACTTACTGTTATCATCATCACCATTGTTGATGTTATCACCTCTGTCATCGTCATCATCATCATCATACTTACAAAACTCGTCTTCTTTATCACCACCCACACAACCATTGCTTGTTCTTCTTTCTCGTGCCTTATAAACAAGTGACACAAGGACTTCACGAATGTTATTCTTTGTTAACAGAGATCTCTTTTTCCCGCAATCATTCCAGTAGTTGTTAGATTTCCCATTTTTTCCTTCTGCATGATATGACAAAAAAATTTTAACTTCTCCCGTCAGATTATATGTAGTAATTTCCTTTGTTCATAACCGGACTGATTTAATACATTCTCATTCAAAGTTTGAGAGGTCCAACTAATTTTCATAAGTCTTCTCAAAAACCACATCTCAGCATCGTTAATCTTTTTTTCCATTTTTTTTAGAAATTGTCCATGACTCAGAGCCGTAAGTTAGAACAGAAAAAATGTAACACCCTAACAGTTTTAATCTGGCTAATATTATGATTTTACTGTTAGTGAGTATGTTTTTCATTTTAGAATGTGCATCTTTCGCCATAGCTATTCTTCGTTTGATATCCATATCAAATTTACAACCTGAGGTAGTCAGACGTACAAAATAATTGAAGCTATTGATTTGTTTCACCTGTTTACCATTAATGATTATTGAGCAGATCGGGGCAGTTTTGCTTTTGCTTATAACTCTGTTTTGTTGATGTTAATTTGGAAGCCTTTCCTTTCACTTTCAAAAATCAGTTTGGAAACAATTGTTTGCAGTTTTTCCATTGAATCTGCCATAAGAGCTGTATCATCAGTATATCTTACGTTGTTCATTGCTTATTACCAATATTATTAGAAGCATTTAATAATAATAAGGATGATCTTCATCATTTCACTCCCTCACTCGCTCACTCACTCATTCACAAGGAAATGATAATCACTCAGATGACCATCATCATCACATTATAATAATCTCACATTAACCGTAAACCACCATCATCACGAGGTCATTTATTATGTCTGCTGTTTCATCTTCACGGCATTTGGGAAAATGTTAAAACAAGAATTTGTTTCGTCACTTTTGTTGGTCAAACTGATAATGGATTGAATGAATTGGATGGATCAAATAAGATGGATGGATCAAAAATCATGGATATATTGAACAAGATAGATGGATTGAATAATTTGTAATGATTAGCAGTTGGATGAGTAGATGGATGGATGTTAATGTTGCGAATGTCTTTTCTACATCTGCAGGACAAGTGAATGACATGAGAACATGCACGCTGAAGGATGGATGGAACGAACAACACTTCAAACCTCTTTCTCCATTTTATGCCCTCCAATTTCAACTAAGTGACCTCACGAGCATCAACATTCTTCCAAACACCTGCAAACAGGTTCCTACATATATTCTATATTCGTTAATAAGTTAATTAATATTTACCTCAATTTTTTTCTTTTACGGACATGGATTGAAGTTTTCTGCTACCATTCACATTCTTGTCTGCACCTTAATTACTTCATTATAGCCATCTCGTCATTTCTAATCTACTAAATATAATAATAATAATATGGTTGGGTATAATGCTATAAAGATTATTGATTATTGTGTTCATGACTAATGTGAATGCTAACCTGCTAACCTTAACCATCTGTCCCAGACAAGAAGATCAACACAGGAATTGCAGTCCACATCATCATCATCATCGTTATCTCGCCTCGAAGATTTAGAAAATTTGAGAGCCATCAACAGGCAACTTTTCAACAAACTTGTGCACGTCGTCATGGAACGATGATCTGCCTGCTTCTCCATGTTCACTCGCTTGTTTCATTATATGACTCGAATGGAAAATTTGAAAGGCGCCAACTTTACGTTCCTGTGCTCCTAACCGAACATTTTATATAAATATTTTTACCAATAGGCTTGTTTAATGCTTATTTTTTCGGTCTTTCAGCTGTAGTGCTGGTGTAAATTTTTGGGACGATTTGTTTTTATGACCACAACTAGAATATAGTAGTTATAGTGTTATGATGCGTTTTTGAAAATAAGTTAAGAGTCAAATTGTTTTATTTATTTTGATCCATTTTTGTCAATTTGCGTGTCATAATAAAGAGTACAAAATGCCCAGCAGCATGGATTCTGACTCCAAGTTTCGGAAGTGCTTTGCAAGTATCATTCGGGTTTTTTTTATTATATTTTTGTATTCAACGAACAACGGGGTTTTTTATTATATTTTTGTATTCAAACGATTATTTTACAATTATGGAATTTTTTTTTATACATTCGATGGTCTTTTGCGGCCAGGCTAAGGTGTATATAAGCGACGAGGTTTCGTAGTAGGTCGGAGTTGTGGATTGCAAAAGGGAGTTGCTGGTTGGGTGATAAAACTAACTGTGAATTATTGACGATCGTGCAACGTTAAGCATTTTTCTGTGATTCTGTTACTGTTGGCGTTGAAAGTAACGTTTGAACAAGTCTGTATTTGAAGCAATTGTGTTTATCTATTAGAAATCAGTGACCTACGGTAGATCTAATAACTTGACGATGATGCAAGTTAGAACAACTAAGTTGAAACTATTAAAACTGCTCAGCAACATTTTGGAATGCATGCATACTAAACATCTATACGTGCATTCCAAAATGTTGTTGAACACTACACATACCAGGATACCTAACAAAAGTCCGAAACCTGCTTCAGTCATTGATCGAATGGAGCTGTTGAACATGAACGCGCCAAAATACCAGTTTTACAATGGGTGAAATTTTATTGCTTTGCCATGTCGATTTCCCGTTATTAATATTTGAAATAAATGAATATTTACAAGTATCGTTTTGCTGTATATTGTTGAAAACTGAATAATTTTATAAAAACTGCAGTACAATGCATTGAAAAAAAAATAACTTGACTTAGCTTTATCGGCAATTTCTAGAACAAAATTTAAAAATAAAATAAAACGACACTATTTTTTCATTTTATAAATAATATATAAATATGTTTTAAAGTGTATTTGGGGGCATTCTTTAGTTTCCATGAACAATTTTCTCTCAAATTCATCAAATTTTATATTTTTTTATATTATTATTATCATGTCTTATTGGCTCGGTCAAAGCCCCTCAAAATCGAAAATTCTGACGAAAACTCAAAAGAAAACAATTAATGAACATGGGTGGAAAATAAATACGCGTTTCTCAATAACATTGCACAAACACACTCACACAAAAAAACAGGAGTAGCTTTTACCTTTTTATAGTTTATTAATAAATATTTAATTAATTTTTTAAAGATTAACTTTATGCTTTTGCATAATATCTTAGCATATTTAGTATTTTTCTGGACAATACTTTAATTTAAATTTATCAATATCTATCAATCAATCTTCGTTTTGCGTCCAGAGACCCGGTTCCCCGAGGTAGGACGTTGTTTTCTTAGCCATCAACTTTTTGCGCCAAATTAGACGATCAGTTGTATCCATTTCATTTAAATATATATATATATATCTAAATGATCCTAAAAATAATGTCTTACATTTCACTGAAAGCATTGAAACCTTTGTATAATAGCTGAAAAATTATAAATTAATAAATGCCCATACCTATTTATGTTTTTGAAAAAGGGGGTTAAATAAAAAATAATTAAGATTAAAAAAAATGACAAAAAATGCTGGAAATTGTTTAATGTTGGTGTGAAGAATGTTCAATTAATAGGATCAAGTAGCATTGCGTTTCCCTTTATCTTCATCACTTGTACCGGCATCACCAAAATCATAGACTAGATGTACCAATATAATAATATGACTCTCAGTAAAAGTGTTTTAAAATTAACAACAATAACAACAGATTTCATTTAAGAAATATTTAAATGTTTAAAAATTAACAAAAAATTATTATAAAAGAGAGATTTAGAAATGCAAAGTCACAGAAACCAGATGTTTAATAGAAATTCAAATAAAAAATAAATAAATTATTTTCTGTAAGTACAAAATTTTACTGGCTCTTAAAGTGAATTAGCTTATATTTTGAACGAATTTTCAACTGACTATTGTTTTTGGCCAAATGAAAAGAACGAACATCTATATACGTTTTTGCTATCAATCTCAAAAAAGAAAAAAAATGATTATTTATATTATCTGCACTTTCAATGATATGGTCTTTAAGATTTAATAGATCTTTATTCGCCAACTCACTCAAAACACTTGATACAACAATTTTTCTATTCATTTTAGACCAGTCTGTCACCATTTTCAAGTGTCTTTCGGTGACACGGCAAATCTGATTGACAAATATGAATTAGTCAAAAAATATACATTAAGCAATATGTTATATAAAAATGAAGAAATTAAAGATCAATATTTTTCCAGCATGCAAATAAAAATTAACATGAAAAAAAAAATTATTTTCAGACCTGAACAACACCACAGGATGGGAAAACTAACCACCATTGTCTTTTAGTATTAGAAGCTGTTGGTGTAACATGGTAGCTTGTCCTTTTATATCAATGAGTGCTAATCTACACTCGTTACTATCTTTTGTTTTGGTAACTTTTCTAACAATCCATCCAGCAAAATACGTTACTGCACTGTCCACGAAAGTGGACATGGTATTAGATGGATTTTCAATGACAGTGGACATGGTATTAGATGTCATTATTTGTGAATCTAAATACGTCTCTTCAAAAATATCTTGAAACTCATCCTCTGGAATTTTAAATTCTTACTCAACTATCATTTGTTCCTGTACATTTCCTTAAAAATTATAAAACAACATATGTATAGCCTTATTTAAAGCAACTGTATAAATAGAACATATTTGAATAACCTGTTTTTCCAGGGACAATACCACATCTATAGTACACTTTTTTGAATATAGATTCCAGTTGCTGGACATTTGGATTATCATTGCTTTTCCCTAAATACATGAAATTTAAATATATAAAATTAAAGTCACTTTTGTTAAATAACCACTTTTGATCATTTTCTAACCTACACTTCGAATGAATTTGAAAAATAACTCAAGATGGTCTTAACTGAATTTGTATGTCAGAACATATTTTTGTGTTTGAAGCAAGGATGTGGCTAAATTTATTATGGTTTCTATGTTGACAACCATCCCAAGAACACATGTATTCCTTGAGTTTAAAAGATATAACAATTCAGAAGATGTAAGTTTACAATTGTATTAATTTGTTAAATTTATGTCATTATATTTTTCTAACATATAATTTATTTAACTCTTTTTAAAGGACGTTTGCCAGCCTGGATCTTTTATGAAAGCATGCGAAAACAATATGGCTCTTGCTAAAATAACAGACACCGGAATTAAAAGAAATATGTATTATTCCCCAGAATTTTTATCATCATTTAAGAAATATCTTTTGCCCAGTGCTCTTCTTTGGACAAATTTACTAACCGGTAATCTTGGGAGACATGGCTTATCAGATAATTATAAAAATCAAAACGCTATATATTTAGAACTGACCCTAAAAGATACTCAAAACATTACAAAAGACTATACGACACAGGGCATTATGGAAAAGAGCCAATGGGATTTAAAGCACATAAGAATGACGAGACAGTTAAATAGAATAGATGATTTTGTTATCACATACCAGGAAATCCACCTAGCGATGATCACAGAATTTGCTGATAATCAAAAAAGACTGTTTAAAAAACGAAAAATAGATCTGGAAGTTTGGAAAAAAAGGAAACGAAGGAAAAAGGAAATTTATATCTCTAACCCAAAAAAAACCTTAATTTAAACCAGGCACTAGTTGGCTGTCATCAGATCACATCAATCTCGCCATGTTTATTTTAAGTTTGCAATACCCCCACATTGATGGGCTATCTGACACTGACTTTCTCACACATATAGGGTTAAACAGCAACTTACCCACGCCACATGGAAAATGTATACAAATATTAAACAAAGGGGGAAACCATTGGATTACCCACAGCAACTTTTTTTCTGAACAAAATATAATTGACATATATGACAGTAAACCCACAAAAATGTTGCCGGAGGATGAACGGGTGATTTGTTCCATTAAGAAGAATTTCATTCTTCCAGAACAAAAGAATGTGATCATGCATCTACACAAAGTTCAGGAACAAATCGGCTCGAATGATTGCGGGGCCCTTGCAATAGCTTTTGCATCATCATTAGCTTGTGGGCTAAATCCCACATGTTGTTCATACAAACAAGAAAACTTACGAGCAGAGTTGGCAAAAGTATTCACCTCCAAACTTTTTCATCCGTTAGAGAAGATTACCAACAGAAAGAGTAAGCCAAAAAACATAGAGATAAATCTGTACTGCACCTGCCGTTTGAACCACATTCCTCACAAGATCGATGTTAAGGAGAACATGATCACTTGTGATCGATGTGGAGAATGGTTTCATAGAGGTTGTCATCAAATTCCACAATCAGCTTTCGATTTAAAATCCTACATTTGCGAAAAATGCAATTAAATTAAAGCGTTAGTGTTAGTATTCCACCCTTTGTTTGTTTTATTTTATAATTATTTTTTTAGTCCGGGGCTAGAGTGCGATGTCATCAATTGATAAATTGATAGGTTTGTTGTTTGTTGTCTCCAGCTTAAATCTAATCTATTCTTTGACATTTTATACAGCGCCAAATACGTGTCGCGAAACAACGTTCCTAGATGAACCTCTTAAACGCGAGTGATTTGGAAGAAGTAAGAGAAGAAGGCAGACAGTTCCAGATAAGAGGGTCGGAAAAGGCAAAAGCAGACTTGGCAAAAGAATGTCTAACAGATAAGACAAAGAAATTATTAGAAAAAGAGGACTGGAGATCAACTCACATTGGTTTTATTCTGTTAAAAATCAGTGTGTCAATATAACCGAGATATTTTAATGAAAATGTATTCTTGTATATGTCTAGAATAAATATATATTTATTAGTTTACTAGATTTTGAGATAATTTTGTTCTGTCGACTGTGGCGATGATCAGCCTCATGTCTAATGATTGATCCAAAATATTACAAATAATTCTGTTAAAAATGCGTGTGGCAATATAACTAAGATATTTTAATATATATTATTATTTTATTATTATTAAGGATAACTTCTAGAGCGCCCATTAAATGTTCTCACAGGCGCTCTCAAAAATAAAGCAATTATATACGTGACAAACAAAATAGTACAAAATCAAGTAGTACAGAATTCAATGTAATTTCAACAAAAATAAAAATGTCTTTAAATCTTTTTTAAATGCTCGAAGATGAAGCCCAGGCTTTCTTAGTGGTGCAGGGAGATTGTTCCACACAGTAGGACCAGCGATTGCAATATCACGCGAACCAATCTGTAAAAACGCCACTGGCACCCTCAAGAGATTCATATCATCTGATCGAAGATGGAAACCAGAAGTTGATTCTTTTCTGGTAAATTTATCAGTTATGTAATCCGGTGACATTCCATTCAATGCTTTGAACATAATCACACCAATTTTAAAAATTATTCTTTTATCAATTGTCAGCCAGTGCAGATCATTCAAAATTGGCGTAACGTGGTCAAACTTCAATTTACCGGCAACCAACTTTGCAGCTCTATTCTGAACCGACTGCAAAATAGCTATTGATTTGTCGGGTATTTTATACAACAAGCTGTTACAGTAATCTAAACGAGACGTAACAAATGCATGCACTAAAGTTTCTATGGTTGATCTGTCCAACCAGTGTTTAATTCGATACAAATTTCGGAGACAGGAGACGCATGAAATCGATATCATCTTTATATGATCTTTCATCGATAATTTACTATCAAGCAAAACTCCCAAGTTGGTAGCTGTCTGAACAAACGGTATGTCAACGTCGTTTACTGTGATGGAACTTGCATTTAATTTTGCCAGCTGCTGCCATGTGCCCACCGGAAGCAGTTGAGTCTTGCATTGATTGAGCTTCAATGAGTTACATGACATCCATTTACCAACCTCCAACAAACATCTGACAAATTTATCAACTTCGGTCTGGAAATGATTAGGATGACCAGTCACCAGAACTTGAATGTCGTCTGCGAACGCGTGGCACGCAAATCCATGAGAATTAATAATTTTAAGTACGCCTGATGTATATAGTATAAACAGAATAGGCCCAAGAACGGATCCCTGAGGTACCCCTGATTTAACCATTTTGACATCCGACAGTACATTCTTGAACAAAACCTGCTGCGTTCGGTCTGCTAAATACGACTCAAACCACGCAACAACAGTATCAGTCAATCCGTAATCGTACCGCAACATATTCAAAAGTATATCATGGTTGACACAGTCGAATGCCGACGACATATCCAGGAATGACATCATTGAAATATTTTGAATGTCCGTTGCAGAAAACAAGTTTGACAAGACATGTAGTAACGCTGTCTCAGTTGAGTGGAATCGTCTATATGCCGACTGGTAGATTGGCATCAAACTATTTTCATACAAATAGGCTAGTAGACTTTTCATCACAACACGCTCAACAATCTTTGATAAGAACGAAAGGTTTGATATTGGTCTGTAACTTTTAACGTCGTTTCCATCACAGCTTGTTTTCTTCAAAATAGGAACAACTATAGCATGTTTGAAACTAGTTGGAAATTTACCCACTTTTGAACAAAGGTTAGTAAAACTAGTGAGGAAGCGAATAAACAAACCTAAATATTTTTTTAAAACATGTGTCGGGATGACGTCAAGTGAACTTGTTTTTGATGGAGAGCTGAGTATGACATTTTTTAACTCAGCCTCAGTGATTACTGGAAACGATGAAAACAAGCAATCACTTGACGATCTACATCTCTCATTCAACGGAGTGGAATTTACATCTGTTGTCTGAATAATCTGATCAACCCTGTCTGCAAAAAATTTCGTAAACTGATGAGCATTTAATATAACATCATTATTAGAGAAATCACATCTTGAACCTTTTGATAGCATTTTGTTTACAATTTGCCATCTGTTTTTGGAC